TGCCAGGAATTGGCATTTGCTTCTGATTTCCAGGAAAAAACCACCATTGTACACAATGGAATCACTTAAAGACCATGGCATTCATTTTACGAGCACACCATTCACATTACAGTTGAGCCATGGTGGTGCAAAGGTTAGAATGCATATTGCAGTTTATCTTTGCCTCCTTCCAGGAGTTTGATTTTGACTGGCTCAAGATTGATTCAGCCTTCCATCTCGCTGAGGCCCATAAAATGAAGACCCAAATTGTTGAGGGCAATATGCTGACACTGTAAACCATTCAGAGCGGGCTGTAAAGCATTATGAAGCATAAGTGCTATTGCTAGTGCTATCACAACTGCCATATCCACTTAATGACTGCAACAAAAAAGCTTGTAATATCAGTCGTGGTCATGCAGTGATGTGCCTAATAACCAGCACGATTTATGACCATAGATCCTGGTTCAATTATGGTTGCAAGTCAATGACTACTATTATATTTTTGTATTATATTCCATTAGGCATATTTTATTATATCAATAAGATATGCCGTGTATTAATATAATTAATTTTGGAACAAGCTTATTAATTTCAAATATTGTTGTAAACCAAATATAGGGCCAGGGACAATAATTCTGAGCATGAAAATGATACATGTTTCTCCCTTGTCTTCCAAGAGATGTCACTGTTTACTTATCCAAAGCAATAGTACAATGCCTGTTAAGATATGGGTGTTTTTCTAAATGTCACCTTTTAGTTTGTAATATAATACATAAAGAAACTGCTAATTATCTTAAAAAGTGGCAGACAGTATATATTGCACTGTACTGTACTGTATGGTACAGTACCGTATACTACACTACATTACGCTATACTATACTATACATTGTACTTGCTGTACTATATTTGAATTACAAATTAAAAAAAAACATGATTGAGCAGTCTATATCTATGGAGCACTTCATTAAGAAGATGCAAATAACTGAGACACATCATAGTGTGAAAAGTCGGGACATACCCAATTACAACTTATGGAGATGTATTAACAGTTCAGATTTTCTACCATCTCAGAAAATATTCAACCAGTGGAAATAGAATAAAATCCTCTGAGAGTATTGAATTATTCTGGAAGTTTGCTGTAAATTAGGTTATGTAAAGCTAGTTCTTTATTCAAACAAGACAGTTGCTGGAAAAAAGTTTAAAATGGAGCAATTTGTACACAGCTTTGAGATTTCTAAATAAAGAGAATATATATCCTAATATAAAAATAAATCAGTAAGTTAGCTCTTTTATTCCCATCCCTCCACTCTGAATTAGTTATTAAGAGAAAATAAAATTTCTTGGTGCAGTAATGCAATTTTAACATTGAAATTAAATATTGGTTAATTTTTTGAACTGTGTTAATTATGAATATTGTTTTGTTCATTTAGCCTTGGTTTTCAACTATTCACTTCAGAAAAAAACAAAGGGCTTTTTAAAGGCCTACTGGCATAATGTTCATTGGAAGTTCAATACACATACAGGTAGTCCTTGGCTTATGTCCACAATTGAGCACAAAATTTCCATTTGCTAAACAAGATACTTGATAAGTGAATTTTGCCCAATTTTACGACCTTTCTTGCCACAGTTGTTAAGTGAATCACTGCAGTTGTTACGTTAGTAACACAGTTGTTAAGTGAATCTGATTTCGCCATTGACTTTGCTTGTCTTAAGNATAAATTAAAGAAATTTAAAAGGATTTCAGTACTTGCTGCGAAAGAAGAGCTCTAGTGGGAAATTCTGGAGAATGACAACTATAGAGTAAAGCTCAATTGTTAAGTATCTATTACATAATTTCCTCTGAGTTATTTTTCAACTTATGTGATTTTTATCAGGCAATGCTAAAGCACTTCTAACTTATTTGTAGAATCATAACTTCAAACTTTATTGCTTTTTAGGTACAGAAAATAATGGTTTATAGGACAAAAATTGGCTTATCACAACATGATACATAAACTAATTTATGTAAACCTATCCTTAATTTAAATTATTCCATATTAAAAATACAGTCAGTATAATAAACATCTGCCAAAAATATTTTCACTGATTATTGCATAATTATTTTTTTGTCACTGAGAAGATATGAATAATTTCATTTTCTTACAGAGTAAACAAAAAAAATTCTATTTGATTTTATTTGCCTGCATTACGGTCAGTATTCACTAAAAAGGTAAAATATTAAAGTAACATACTGTATATGGAGATGTCAACTATACATTGTTATACTGTACCACACTAGCACTTTTGTAGATTACTGTTTAAATTTATATTTTAAGTGGCTAATTATTGTGGATTATAATTCGGTGATCAATTAACAGGTTTAATAAACTGTTTTCTTTTTAGACTTAGATCCTAGGCAATCTCTGTGTATTCTAGCATATATTTGTAAGCCTAAAATTTAGGATGAAAACTTAACTAGTATATTAATTAAAAGTTATTCAGGAACAGGAAGATAACATGCATAATATCCAAGGTGTTTTTAATATGTGAACTATATTACTAGAATGCAGTTATATCAATTAATGTTTACAATATTCTTTTCTAACCATTATATGCTATGAATTTGGTAGATGGTATTTTGGGCTGCCGTATGCAGAATTCAAATTATGTGATTTTAGGCTACAATAATTTTGAGAACTCAATGTTACCTTGAGAACAGGAACAGGGACACAAAGACAGCTATTTTAGCTAGCCTTATGTTAATAACTGCTCTACATTTATGCTGTCTATTTAAAAGTTTCATTATGTTTCGTTATGGTACATTTTCTCCAACCAAGGAGACAGAGGAAAAAGTAATACTGCAGGTAACGCTCTCATCTTCAAAGCATGACATTGAATAATGGGGACAATAAAAAATGGATAGGCTTTTAAAACTTGTATTAAATTCAGACAAAATATAATGTAATCCAGTATCCATGTCCGTTTCGCTGTTAACTGACTTCATTTAGTATGGTTTAATTAGCTGTTTAATAAAACTTTTTTAAAAATGATTTTCTCCAAAATACTTTTGCTGTGATAGTGCTTATGTTTTCATACAGATCAATGGAAATGATTTGTCATGACTTTGCTATAACAAGTATATAGAGAAATGCAATTCATGTTAATTTTAATAAGTTCAGTAATTTCTCATGTGAGTATAACTAAACCTGTGAGAAAATTTTATTTTTTCCCCTAGAAAATTTGCTTACTATATTTACACAGATGAGAGGGGGGGATGGAGGGAGGGGGAGAGTCAGTCAAAAAGATAAAAAATCCTGCAATGTACCTGCTTCCCTTTCTTGCTAACCTAGGCTTACTAACTCTGGCTGAAACCAATCCTTGCTCACCATAATTCATAAATTGTGCAGGTCACATCCTCATGTATTTATCAATCCACAATTCAAAATGGATGGGCCAAGGGAGAAAAAAATAAAACAATAGAATTAAAATTAATTGAAATTCCCATCAGTATATCCCAAATATTCTTTCTCCTTTTGATGCACAAACCTTTATTTTGGTCTCTGTCATACCGACACTCCCACACACAAAAATATACTTCATCTAATAAAAACACTAACAAAAGAAAAAAGAAAAAGAAAAAAGAAAAGCTATGAGGACATACCTAGAAGGGACAAAAAGTGAAATGGAATGGAATGGATAAAGATAAAGAATAAGTATGGTAACTGAACAAGAAAAGAAAAGGAAAAAGAAAAAAGAGACGCCCTATTATGGAACTACAAAAGGATTAAAATTCACAAGGGAAGCAATGTCTGAACCAATGTATAATTTTAAAGAGTCCATTTTTTCAGCAGCCACTTTTTGCAACCATTTTTGCATTTTAACTATTCTTTTTTCAATAATTTAAATTATTTTGAGCTGATCTAAGATTCCAACTTTAAGGTAATTTTTGAAGGGTGGAGGGAAAAAATATCTTATTTGGTAAATAAGATATTTCTGCAGAATGAGTGACTTTCATTGTCACAGTTTTTTCTTCCAAGAATGTATGGGATATCAGGACTTTTTAAATCTGTAGGCAAAATTATTTGACTGGTTTTTTAGTACAGGTGTAAATGGTGATAGATTGGTAACTACTAGACCAAATAAAATATTACTGGTCTAACAGATTTTACAAATTTAAGTACAATGTCCAAGACATTTTAGATTGATATCTGAATCTGTTCAATTTCAATTCCACTTTTCTGTTCAATTTTCTTTCATTGTTTTACTATGTAAAAACATCATTTCATAATATCCCATCAAGACATTGTTTGTTTAAACAATGGGTAGAGCTTCCACTCCAAAATAAATATATTTGTTGGAAATTCATATTTTTAGCATGACTTATTAATCACCATGAATTCTGCTATAACCTTTCTGCTTATATAAAATTAATGGCAAGATTACACCAAAATTTCTTTAATGCTTATTCAGGGGATTGCACTAAATGAGTGACTGAACTGCATGCAGCCTTTGTGAAAAAATCACTTGCTTTTCAGTTTCAAGAAAAGCAAGTTATCTACTGTTTATGGATGAATTAAGGGGTGGTTATTAAAGCTGCATTAGCTCTTCATACTTTTGAAAGTTAAAGAATAAAGAAAAATAATTACAATCCTAAGTATACTTTATAGAAAATATAGTCTCACTGAATACTGAAAAACTTAATTCCATATCAACGTGCATAATAAGGCTGCTCTGGAAAGATGTGAAAGCTGATGTGCATTGCTACATGTCAGGAATTGCTTTGCAAATGTTTCTGTTCTCAAAATGCAAGGATAATATCAGAATCACAGCTAAAGCATCAACCCATTTTAATCTAAACAATTTTAGGTGGCATATGTAGGGAGACTAGAGGAGTCAAATAATTCATGACATTAGTCATGACTAGTCACATCACAAATTAATGTGAGAGGCACCTACAATATATATTGCAATGCACATAGCAATCAAAGGATAAATAATCTTCAAAAGATTGGGGAAATCAATCTCTTCTATTATTAGGAAGACTTAAATTTTCTCCTTTGAATCTATTTAATACAGTGAGTAACAGTGTTGTTTTCAAACAAAATCTGAGCTCAAAGCAAGATACTCTGTACAAATAAATGAGCCATACAAGAACCATATATTTATTGCACTAAAATAATTAAAAAGCTGCCAGTTTATTGAATGAAAAATGTCACAACTCTTCGATCAAGTCTATTTAATGAAGTCTGCAGTATCTTACTACATACAATAATGTATTTACATTTTCTAATAAAATAGTTGAAGAACTTAAAAAAATATTGTATAGAAAGGAGTAGTAATTCCTCACCTTCCAACAATATTAACAGAAGGTAGCTATGCATTATTTGAAATAATTACCATTTAAGGCTGCAGTCTTTCCTCCCTCTCCAGTTACATGCCATTAACTCTCATGGATTTCACAAGGAGTTAATTATATCTGATGAGATATCATCTTTTGCACTGGAGCAATTGTTCAATTGTAATTGTACAAAAATTGTATTTTCATTTTTAAAAAGAAGAGTATCATTAAAGTGGGGGGATACACTTATTTGAAAGCCCCTTCTTCTTCAGACATACAAGTCTCCTGATGCTCTTACATTTAATATTAATGCTGGGATTAACTCTAGATAGATACAAAATAAGCAAAATTTAACAAATTTGTTTGTGAGTGTTAAGGCCACCCTTGAAGCCAGCATGTGCCAGACGTCTTAGGACAACAATTGCTAGATTTCTAGGGATTTGTAGACTCGATTCATCTGAAAAGTACCAGGTTAGAGAAGATAAATCCACAAAGTTAGCTAATCGTACTTCAGTTTAAAAGTATCCATTGTTGCTTTGTATTAGTTTCAATTAATAACTCTAATAATGTCAGTTTATTATCACAGTATATTTGCTAAAAGAAATAATGTTGCCTTTTATTCAATCGTCACTTATTTTATTAGATGCAATGCCTATGTATTTTGTTCCATTTCCCCCGTCCTTACAGAAAGCATATAGATGTGAGCAATAACCTCACCATAGCCAAAAATATATGTCACTCATGAAATGTATTTAAGACTATGAGGCACAAGTGAGTTACATCATTCCATTGATCTTAGTCCACTCATAGATGTCTTGCTCACATACTATATCTGAGTTTATGAGAAGGTATCTGTCACCAACGCAAAAATGTTTCTGGCAAGCAGCACACTTGAAGCATTCCAGATGGTACACTTTGTCCTTTACTCTCATGGTCATCTCATAGGCTCGGATTCTCTTCTCGCAGGAGGCACAGAGACCATCTTGTCCAAAAAGCCTTTTTTGTAGGGAAAAAAGTACAAGGTTAATGTTCCATAATCCATTTTAACAAAGTAATTGACCTAATTTTATTAGAGTTTTAAGCAAACATATGGATAGTCTGAAGTTCTGGGAGGAGAGAAAAGAAAGCACAAAAAGGGAACAAATTATACAGGCAGTTCTAATTGATTGATTGTTTAATTCAATTTAGTTTGAGTCCTGCCTTAGCCGTGAAAGGCAGCTGAATGACTTTGGGTCTGTCCCTCTCTCAGCTCAATTCACTTTACAGGGTTGTTGTGGTGAAAATAGGAAGACAAAGGAGAATTAAGTATGTTCACCACCTTGAACTATTTGTAAAAATACTATAGGTGGGATGCAAATAAATAAATAAATAATGACTATTTGCAATTATGACACTGATAAAAAAACAATTTTTTTTTTTACCAATCCTTGTATTTATGCTCTCTGCAAGTCTGTAAAGGAGTCCTAAAGAAATATTGTAAGCATATTTGCGATTTCATTTAACTAATGCTTTGCTTAACTGAGTTGCTGGTTCCATTATGGTCACCTAATAAGGACCACCTATAGTACCATGATAACTCTAAGGACTTGTCATAGTCCATAAGAGCATAGCATTCATTGGAGAAATTTAGCCATAACATCTTGACAAAGCAAGTAAGCAAGCAAACAAAAAGTGTTACAATATTTTCAGCTGCTCCACAGCTCACTGTGTCAGCTCAGCTTTCCAATATTAAAGTAGAATCTCAAATGAGTTTGGAAATAGTTTCTATTCTTAATTTGTCTTCCTTCTTCTTATTGATCCTTAAAAATCCTCTGCAGGTTGATTGATCATTGAGTAATCCAAATTAAAATAGTCAAATTGTTAAAGGGGTGCAAATTTGAATTTGATTTTAAACCAAACATTTATGGAAACATTAAGTAGAATGATAATAGGTTTGCTTAGGATTGATCTTTACATCAGTATCACATGAATTGTAGTCATTATGATGGATCTTAAAAGTATTTTTATAAATAATGCTTAGCATAATGTACCTTATTCTTATGCACATTACAGAATAGAGAAAGAGGAATTGTAAAATCCATCATACTTTGCATAATTCTTGGTTATATGTTAGCACAAGCAGATGCAAGTAGTCCTTTATTTACGACCATCTGGAATTTTGATTATATGTCATTGCAGTCAGAAGACAAGTCATCATGTCCATATACTTGACTTTACAGCCATTTTTAAGTGAGCCATTGTGATTGTTAAGCAAATTGTAGTTGTAAGTCCTAATCCATCTTATCAAATGGTGGGGTTTTTTTTGCAGAACAATGGCAAAAAAATATTGCAAAATGCAGTCACATGCTGCAACTGGATGTAAATGTAAGCCAGTTGCCAAGCATCTGAATGCATCTACATCACTGTGGGGGTGATGTGGCAGTCATAACTTTGAGGACAGGACCTAACTTTTTTTCAAGTCCATTGTAACTTTGATCAATCATTAATCAACCAATCAAAGTTATATCACACACTTCCCCAAGACTTAGACTTGGATTTGAAGACACCCACAGACACATACCCCTCATGTTCATATGATTATATTTTGGGCACTTGGCAACTGGTCCATTTTTATCATTGCTTCCAGAGTCCTGCAGCTTTGTGACCACATTTTTTTTTGCCAGGAATTGGCATTTGCTTCTGATTTCCAGGAAAAAACCACCATTGTACACAATGGAATCACTTAAAGACCATGGCATTCATTTTACGAGCACACCATTCACATTACAGTTGAGCCATGGTGGTGCAAAGGTTAGAATGCATATTG